TCGAGATTTGAACCCGGGACCTTTGGTCATTGTGTTCAAGACATTACCTCTAGTCGGTTGTGATCGAGAATATGATGAATGAATAGACTTTCATCGATCTAGTAGAGGAACAATTAAGTTCCCCTTTGCCCAGGTTGTCGCAGTGGGTTGAATTGATAGGTAAAACCCTTGCCGATGCCATCTTCAGGCTCAGTTCCATAGGGAAAGTAAGAAAGTGAACAGCCAGGTAGGGAAATGGACTATTGGACGAGCGTAGGTCTGCACCAGAGCCAGGCGGTGTCCGAAGCTTGGCAGCTCCGTGAAAAGCTTCCACAAAGCTGCCTCTGTCCGATTCAACCTTCAAGCAGATTTTTTTTCGGAATGAATGCGACCTTCTTGTACACCTTCAGGAATTGCTTTGACTGTGATCCTAAATTAACACGTAGAGTCCTGACCGGCAGTTCTGTTATTCATTTATTTTCAGTTGAAGATTTCGTTTACGCCGAGGAAGTCAATGGACGTCCCGCCGCCACGTCAGGTCTTTCATTATAAGGCTGAAGGTCGTGCCATCAAGTGTTATCCTCTGGGAGCTTCCAATTTGATGCGGTGATCCACTTCACAATATATGTTTATATTTGTTATTTCAACCAGCATTATCTTCTGACCATCGGGTGCAGGGGCGGTGCGCAATAACTGTTCAGTATCTAGGTCGAGGCTGCAGGTAACACTGGGAAAGGATCCAGGTGCTAATCACCAGCACTCCAGTAATTTGCAGTGTGATATAATAAAGTTTCCTGGTTAAGCACGTATTGGGTGGCGTTCGAACGATGCGCTCGCATCCGCTTGGATATGTTTGCACCCCAAACAGACCGCGGCAAAATCTACCTCTATGGAATGGAAAAAATGGAGATCCATAAATTACAGTTTCTTCTGAGCCCAAACTATTCTTACTACGAAACATAAATACCCATCGCAGGGGGTCAAGTAAGTTAAACTCTGGAAACTGCGATCTACAGGTCATGGTTACTTAGTAGAGACGATGTCGGTAGAGGCCAGAATAGTAGGTCCAGTATATTGTGTACACAGAGGAATTCAGAATAGAGTACTCAGCGTCATCGGTTATAAATCGCGGCCGGATATCGCATAGGGCATCGCGTGCGATGAAGGGCACTAGCCTGTATAGGCGAACGAGATAGGGTCGGTGTGGGAAACCACCCTAGTATGATCACCGCAGGTTATTTTGAACTGCCGGTAGGGAGAAATCGTAGAGACACCGAATGGTAAAATTCTCTCAGCCTAAGTGCTTGGCGAAATCCGTGGTTTGATTTTTAATGCTTGATTAATGTGCGGGTATTACATGCTAACTACATGATATGTGCGCAGAAGAAATTAAGATACGAACGCTTGGTTTTGTTTTAGTGAACTAGAAAATAATTGAGAAGGTTGCGTAGAGAACAAAAAAACCAAGAGAAACTCGTATTCATTAGCAAAGGAAACCTTTGACCAAGAAAAATAAATAGAAACTCCAGTCGGGTCAATACATGTCTTAGTTGTTGGAGCTTTTTGAAGGAATGCTAGGATATTAGTCTTCCTTGGGGCATGATCAGTAGACTCCGTGTCAACTAAAGTAGCGCCGTCAACGTTTTCAGTAGTGACACACGTTAAGTGGGTTGAGGCGCAATATGGGTATCGGATATAACCAAAGGCAGCTACATGTTCCGATGTGATATGTTAGCGTAGACCTGAAACAAGACTTGGATTGGGCAGTGTAAAATTTCGAATAGGTCATCATCTGGAGCCTTTTTTGCCGTCGGATTTTTGTTTTCTGGTATTTACCGGACGTATATGTTCATGCTGGTTCAGACGAAATTATGGCTGAGGATGCCCTGAGTAGCTCGGGCTTCAGAAGGTCCAATAATTTGCAACTCAGTGAAATATTATTGTCGCATCTTATATAGTACTATAAATAGAAAGACATCCTACAACATTTCACCCAAGAGTGTTTGCAGAAATTTTCGGCCAACTGTTTAAGTAAGTAAATACGCTCGTAACTACTGGATTTTGCATAGACGACAAAGTTCCTGGCGCCTTTCAACATGGTTTTATGCCTACCTGCTTTTGTAAAATATTGCATTTGTCCCTTGTACATCTGTCACTTCTCTTCACGTTAACTCCCTTTGGGATTTTGATATAAGTATTTTTATCAGTAACGTCTTTCGTAAAGACCCGCATAGACAACTCTGTCTAATACTGAAATCTTATGGAATTCACAGTCCTTTTTGACTAAATTAAGTCAAAACTATCAACTCGGAACAAAATGATGCCAATGGGTCTGTAGTACTAAATTAAATTATTAACTTATATTTAGTTTCAAATGGGGTTCTATTAAATACGGGCCCCGCGAAAGCATCGTGTTAGGACAGCAACACTCTGCGAACGTGACTGAATTGATGTTTTGGAGTGAACAGTTTTTGTTCGGATTCGGGATAGAAGTGGCCTCACCGCGTGTCAGCGAAGAAATGCGGTGCTCCTTCCCTCACAACTGCCGACACTTCTCCTTTCACCGCTGCACTCCGAACTAGTTATTTAGCTTACAAGAGGGTGTCATATTCCTTTTAAACGGAAAATTAGCCTGCGATAGACCTCTTCCCGCTTATAGCAGGTAGCGTCTCATTGGAGATTACCTGGATTGGTTTATTGGTTTAAAATCCCTTGCGTATTCTCAATCCCCTTGTTCCTGTTGCACATTGTCTCGCCAATCAATTTTTATTCGATCTTGTTGCATGAATGGAAGGGAGGACGTGCCTCACAACCCTGTTCATTTCGACTTAAGACCAAATTTCTTTCATTATTACGTTACCCTATGTCTACTGACCATAATACACTTGTTTCCTCTAAATTATCTTCCGTTTTTACTGAATCACATTTATATTTCATCCCACTGTCCGACGGCCCTGATAGAAGCTGTCTAGGTCTGGGGATTTACTTCTTATGACGCCGCATTATTAAAGATGAATGTATACTATCATATAATTGCGTTGCCTATTCTTGAATGTTGTTACTCCCTCTTGGACTTTATGGACTAGTCCAGGCGTTCGAAAATGGAAAGTAAGCCATACATTTTACTATTAAACTATTCCGTAACACAAACTCGCATATTTCTTTTAAATGTCGGCAAAATCTTTGTTATATCTCAACGCTCGGTCCATTTACTCGCTCGTACGACTATCTTAATTTTCCTGTTAATGTAAAATTTCATTAAAAAACCTTTTTATTTCACCATTTTAATCGCACCAACGTTGCTTTGACTGTGCCTTCCCGAGATTGTGAATAAGCAGGTCAGGAATGGGATCACTATTTTGACCTTTTACTAATAAATAATAAACTGTATATTTAAGGCCCAAGTGGCCCTTTCATTACAAACTTAGTGCTATCGTGAAAATAAGAAAATAAAAATAATTCCGATTAACAACGAACTCTTATAAAATAATTATCTGGGCAGTAAAAAAACCTCTACATCGGTGGATGAGTTCAGCGAGCCACCGATTTCCAAAAAAATGTAGGAAGAATCCTACATCTGTGGATGAGTTCAGCGAGCCACCGATTTCCAAAAAAATGTGGGAGAAAAAACCTCCCTAGAACTTTGACTGCGACTCTCAAAATAGTCTGTTTGCCCCTGGGGCGACGTTTTTTAAACCTGCATTACTTTATGCCTAGGCGTGTACCATATATGGCGCACATCGCAGTTTGGGACATCACTGCACGTACCACATATGGCGCACGTCGCAGTCAAAGTGTTAATAGGTAGCATGGTATGACATGATGCAGTTAGATGGGATCGGGACGCCCATTGTCATGGGAAAAATGATATAGCGGTGAGTTAAGAAGGGGTCATACGGGACAACAGGAGAAAACAGTAGAAGTCAGGGCAACATCACCGAGATTGAAGGGCTGCATCCGTGAGGTTTTTGGATGCGTCAGCGCCAATGGAGAACGAGTCATCAGTAAAATGTTTAACAATTACATGTCACGCCTAGGTAGCATAAATAAATAATAAATAAATTTTATATTTTAGGCCCGAAGGGCCTTGTCATTGCAAACTTAGTGCTGTGGAAAAATA